CCCAACTATTCTATATTTTTACCATATGAAATGTACGCCGCTCAGAATATAACGCCAACAGTTTTGGATGCCATGAATGGAAATGTTTCCGAATGGTATAACGAATGCGACAATGCCATTAGAAGGTCAGAAATAGTTCCTGGAACTTACGAATATACAACTGCTGTTTCTTATGGAAACGTAGGTGATTTTGGAGAAGGTTCTTCAACAACAGTAGATATTGCTTGCGACAGGTTTCATATAATTTCTATTGACAACTCTTTCTTATACGTGGAACAAGACATTGAAATAAAACCTTCTGCCAAGTTGTCTGACAAGAAAGGTTGCAATGGAATTTTCTATGTCGGATACCAATATGCTCCAGAAGTTTTCATGGGATATAAGATATATTCTAACTCTGACTTAGTTCAAACAGTAACATGGGCAAACTATGAATGGTTCGCTTTGAGAAACTCAGTACAACCACAAGCTAGAGAACAAACAGACCAGTATGCACTATTGAGAAAATAAGAAGACTTGACCCTAACGTTCCAGGAGTTTATGTTAACCTTTCTGGACAAACTGCAGCAGCAGTAACCAAAGTAAAACTGAAACTTAGAGTTCCTTTGTCATCTTTCCTCATCTTCAGGTTTTTAAGATACTTGCCAAACTGGGCAGGAAAAATTTCTATCGAACTTACTCCAAGCAAAAATAACTTAGTCATTGCACCAACACAAGACCATTCACTCTTACAGAAGTAAAGGGAACAAATAAATGTCATTCGCCGACTTTTGCAAAACAAAGTTGACTTAGACTTTGGTTTCTCAAACCTCAACACTGAAGTAAACTATTATTTCAATGCTGCTGGAATGCTTGGGACCCAGTTAAGTTCACATGCGAAAAGTTTGAATGCAAGAGAATAGAAAGCAGACTTGCAGTCTATATGTTGGACCCAGATATTTCAAATGCTTTAGCTGCCAAATATATTGCAGTTCCACTTATGTTCCCTATACACCAAATATCTGTCAAAGACTTTGCAGGTGAAGTTGGAAACCAAAGTGCTGACCCAGGTGCAAGAACAGATATTGCTTTAACAACTGCAATGAAACATGCAGATACTATGTTTGTACTGTTCAGACGAACTATAAATGACTATTCTTGTTTCTACAACCCTGGTATTAAATATCATATAAACATAGATGGCAAATACTATCCAAGAGAAGAATATTCTACAGTTGAGGATATGAGGTCATACAACTTGACATTAGATGCTATGAACTTTAACAACAACTTCACAACAACCATTAACCCTGAAATGCAAAGTTCTATTATGCCATATGTGAAAGTATGGACTCATACAGGAGGTCAAAAAACTCAATATACAAATGGAGACCGTTCAAACTTTTGGCTTGGCATTCCATTTGCTGACTCAGAAGACTTTATGGTGGTATTTCAACTGTTGGTACAGTTCAAATACAATATACTGGTGACAGAGACGGTCCAGATGAATTGAAGAGCAAAGAAGTTTACAAAACCAATAGCACTTTTCACGGAAGATGCTCTTTTGAAGATTCGTTCGATGAAACCTGCTGGGGCTCCTCAGATTGGCATAACGACAGCTTCCATCGAGCAGATTTTGGCAGCAGGTCAGTAAGTTGTTCTTGAACTGACTTCTCTCCGTCAAATATTGACAGTACGCCAGTTTTGACATAAAATTGTATTATAAACTTACCTTTAGAAATATCGTCAGTTTTGTTGTTATATTTTTGTCTGCTTCAAGAACTTTCACCATTTCAGTTATACCAACTTTCTTTGCTTTATGAAAATATTTTGGTTCAGCAAAGACTGCTATTCTATAACATTTTCCATTGTTTGTATAAAGAACTATTCTGTCAATGAACTTGTATTGTTTGTGTGTGTAAACTTTGTTTTGCTTCAATTCGAAGAGATACTCAATACGTCCATCTTTTTATTCTAAGTAAAATGTCATTTCCGAAAAATAGAAGCGTAAGTGTTTCAAAAGGTTTAATGGCGGTGGCAGATGTGAAGTTAAATTCACCAACTCAAACAAACAGTCAAAGTGTTGTTGTCAATGTCAAAGAAAGAGATGTTGAAGTGGGGGAAACCATACGAAGACGAAGATGGTATAACAATTGTTCCTGTAAAAGAACAACCAACATACCCTGAAGTTAGCAGAGACTTAAGTTCTGTTGCAGATATTCGAAACGACTACCAACAACTTAAAGACAAACTTAAAACTCAGGAGAAGATTTGTCAGCTTTAGGTATAATGTTAAACTTGGTCGAACACAACCCTGTAAAAGTGAACTCATATGTCATCGCACCTCATGAAATTTTGAAAGAACTATTGAAACTTTTGACAGAGGCAGACGATATAAACATCAAAGAAATAGAACCCGACATTGCTTGCTGTGGTGTTTCATACAATGTCATTGACAAGATATACGTTATGAAAGGAGGTGAAACGTTGAACTTAAAATATAGTTTCCCAGACGTCATAAAAATATTTGACGACCACAACATTTCATTAAAATTTATTTGCTAAGTAAATGGCAGAAGACATAGTGGTTTATACTATTACGACTAAAAACCCTGAGTCATATAATTCTATAACAACAAACTTACAAAGTCCTCAAGGACGATATTGTAAACTAACCTTAAACACAATGACGACTAAAGCCTGTTTTGCTCTTTTGACACCAGAAGACTTTTTGTTGTGAATGGTAAAAAATACTCCTTTGAAGATACTTACTCAGATATACCACCAACAGGTTTTGTTGACTTATTTAATACTTTAGGACGGATGTAACATGTGCTGCAACTAGAGCAGGTTTCATTATGTTTGGATGTCCGACTGAGTTTACTATAAACGATATGAGCTATAATACAAAACTTATATCTGGTTTTTACTACCAACAGTTTCCTATAACAGGAAAAGGTGTCATACAAGGAATGTCTATTCCATTGACATTAAGCACACCAATCTTATATATTGTTTCAAACTTAGGTTCAAAGTGTTATTCGAATGTCGACAGAAACTATTATGACCAAAAGATACTTATGCGTATAAACAACACTTTCTCTGCTGGTTTGCCTATTGTTCATTCGAATGCAGAATTTTCAACCTTAGTGAACTCAAACACTTTGGCAAGTATAACGTTGACATTAGTTGACGCAAACTTTGTTCCTGTAAAACTTTTATGTCCTATGTATTTGTCAATGACGGCAGAAAGTTTCGAATTGGAAGATGCAACTGGTGAAAGTATTGTATTACAAGAACAACTTCAACAACAAATAGCTCAAGAACAACAAATGCAACAAATGCAACAAATGCAACAAAGTCAAGAATAAAAAAAATATTTTTTTTATTTTTATAAAAATGTACAGAATAGATGTTTCAGATTTTTATGACTTCCAAGCATTCAGAAATATGTGTCCATTTCGAGACTATAACAAAGCAGTCGAGAATTTGAAACGTTTAGTCATTTATGTTGACTCTGCCCCAGAATGTTATGTCATGAAAGAATGGGATGTTGTCTTTAACAAACCAAGAGCAACAATAGTTTCAGAACAAGAATGTAGACAGAAACTTAAGAAAATAAAAGTTGTACAAGTTGGCATGAAGATGTTAGATGCTTGGGATATCTTATTGTCAAAGTTAGAAGATTTTTCAGTTCGTGGTATAAAGTTTATACACCTTCTCCAAACTTCTATTCTATCTTCACTGGATATAAATACGAACAAGTAGAATGGAAAGAAAATATTATAGAAGCTTGGTTAGACCATGTCAAAGAAATTATATGCAATGGAAACGAAAGAGTCTATGAGTATATCTTATGTTGGTTTGCAAACATCTTACAACATCCAAGTGCTAAAAATGAAACTGCTCTCATTATAATTGGAAAACAAGGAACAGGTAAGAACACTTTCTTTACAGATATCTTGTGCAAACTGTTAGAGGGCTATTCGAATCCGAATATGACAAACTTAGAAAACATCTGTGCAATTTAACTCTCAATAGAGAATATGAAACTTATAGTATGTAACGAACTTCAAAGTATAGATACAACAAAGTTTTGAACTCAGATGCTTTGAAGAGTCTTATAACAGACAAAGTTGGAGTTGTTGAAAGAAAATATAAAGACCAAAGAGTTTGTGAAAATGTTGCAAACTTCATTATGGTTTCAAACAATGCTGTTCCGATGAAGTTAGAAAGTTCTGACAGAAGATATGTAGTTGTCAGAACGTCAGATTCTCATATGCAAGATACAGAATATTTTGACGACTTAGCAGAAACTTTGACATCTGACTTTTACAACCACTTGTTCTCATATTTCATGACATTAGATATTTCAAAGTTCAATCCAAGACAAATTCCACATACCGAAGAGAGACAAACATTGTTAGAAGCAAACAAGAGTGTATATGAACTGTTCATAGATGAGACTAACTTTGAGTGTTTAGATGAAAGGTCATTGTACGATTCGTATAAACAATATTGTCAAGAATATGGTTATATGACAGCGTCTAAACGTACATTCTTGGCAAATGTCAAAAGTCTTTTAGATGTTCAGAATGGTGTATATACAAAGAAAAATTTTTATGAGTAAATTTTAAAAAAATATTTTTTTATCCGATAGAAAAGATGACGAAATTCATCTCAGTAAATAAGTACATGACAGAAGTCAAAGAAGAACTAGACCCATTCGCTTATTTGAATGTTTACTTCTACCATTTTGAAAAGTCTACATTTGCAAAGTTTGGAACATCGAACCAGTTAAGTTTGCTATTGTGACTAAAAATGGTGCGAAATTTGAAGACTTAGACATAGAAGGTTTGTTAGCAGTCAAAGAAAATTTTGACAGAAGGTTTTCAAACCTTAAAGAAGGCAAGCATACAAACTTGTATACCTTTATGAACCAAAGAAAGCAGACGACTATGAATATTATGAGTCTAAGATAGTTGAAGTTCAAGGTAAATTGGGTAAAAAGATTTTAGAGTCTAAACCAGTGTTTGCTCCTAAAGAGGAAGAGAACATTGACATTGACCCAGAAATGTTCTAAAAATAAAATTTTATTTTTACATGTCAAATTTCTTTTTCTCTGGCTCTGGCTCTGGCTCTTTCTTCTCTTTTCTACTTTCTTTCTTTCTTCTCTCTCTTCTTCTTCTCTTCTTGGTGGAGTTATGTCAAACTTCTCAGAACCATATTTTTGTAAAAGGTCTTTGTCCTTTAATAGCTCTTCTATTCTGTTTTCTATTTCATCTTCAAGAACAGCGCATGTGTCTTCTTTGCATTCTAAGAACTTTTGTTGGACTTCATCTTTCCAATCGGCGTCATCTCTGTCAACAAGTCTTGTCATTGACAAACTTAAAGACTTCTCTGCTTAATGTTTTATGGTTCTTGTCATATTCCCAGAAAACAGAACTTTAGAACAAATTCACCTTTCTTGTTTACACTATGTAAGATTTTATGGTCTACAGATGTTTTGCTTGTCGAAAGCTTGTCTCGAATATAGATAGCGAAATCGCTAGACATTTCCTAAAAGATAAAAATTTTTAATTTTTCTAAAAATATGTTAGAAAAAAAGTTTGCTGACATTGACAAGAAATTTGAGAATGTTTTAAATAAGAACAAGAGGAAGTTGGAAAATGCTCAGATAAAACCCATACATGACAAGTTCCTATTTGCTCAGAATGGTATAACAGGTCTAATCGCACCACCTGGGTCGGGTAAGACTTTCACTTATCTTAAAATGGCTGCACAACAACAAGAACTAGATGAGAAGAACCCATTCTATGAGTTAGTAGTCATTTGTAGTACTTCTGGTCAATTTGACCAAACCGTCAATTCGTTCAAAGATATTATAAAGAAGTCTAAGTTAGTATGTATAAAAGACTCTGAGTTGTTAGATTGGATAAAGAAGTACCAAAGAAGAGTTTTGAAGTACAATGCTATAAATGAGTATGTCAATTCTAAGTTTAAAGACCCAAATGAGGAAATGCAGAGAATATTAGAGAAGAAACACTTCAGAAACAAACAGAAAGAGATAGAATACATTTCGAAGAAATTGCAATCTTACGATTGGAAGACTTACCCTCATAGATGTCTTCTTATCTTAGATGACTTTGCTTCTCATCCTTTGTTAAAGAATAGAGAACAAGACATGTGTCGAATTCTTAAGAAGCTCAGACACTTTAACATCTCAGTTGTCATTTGTGTACAGACAGCAAAGAGTTTAAGTAAGGATGTTAAAAGAATACTTACTGACATTGTACTTTTCCCCGGATTGTCCGAAGACGATTTCATGGAACTTATGAAAGAGTCCATGGCAGGTAAGTTTGACAGACATGAACTTTGGGAGAAGTACAAAGTCATACAAGACCCTCATACTTCTTTCAGAATTCATATCTACGCGAACAAAGTTCAAATTGTAAAAAGTCAATAAAAATAAATGGTTCATTTACTCTGCTTGTTTGAAGTTGTCAAAATACTCTGTTATTTTTCACGATTTTCATGAGTTTTAGGCTAGACCGGTAAAAGTCGGTCTAGAGAAATTTCACGATTTTCATACGGAATCTCTTCTCTCGGTTTTCCGAGGGAAGCATCTTATGCCATTTTACTCAGAATTTTGGTCATTTTTTTCAGCAAAAATATATTTTAGGGTAGAAGGTTAGATCTAACCTGTTTTCTAACCTCATTTCTACCCATATGTCCTTACTGAAAAAAGTATGTGTTCCCTATGTCATTTTACTCAGAATTTTGTTGCTGAATTCAATAAAAATATATTTTAGGGTAGAAGGTTAGATCTAACCTGTTTTTCTAACCTCATTTCTACCCCAGTTATTTTATAAGCGTTTTACATGGTAAACATTGTGAATTCGTGAAATTCTAAACAATTTCGTAGCTTCTATTTCTTCTGTCAGTACATCGAATGTTTTAACAATGCCGAAGGTTTCTTTATATTTCTTCTTGACATCTGAAAGAAGGAAATCGTCAGCTGTTGGATAGTTTTTGTTTAGAAATGTCAACATGTCCATTTTATCTTCTGCTGGTTTCTCTGCCTCCCTCTTTAAGTCAGCATAGTCGTTTCGCATACGTTCTATCTCTTTGACGGAGTAGTTATATTTCCTCATTGCTGCTTTACATTTAGAACATTGTGGGTTCATTTTTGCGTTATATTCTGAAACCTTACCTGCTAGTATGACTAAGGCGTCAATTGCTCTCTTTAACTCAAAAGTTGCGGGTTTTATCTGTTCATTCCATATCTTACCTCTTCTATCTTTATCTCTTATCTGCCATACACATTCAGCAACTAACGAAACAAAGTTGTCGTAGGTCTTAAACTCCCCAGATTTGTATATGTCAGAGATGTTCTTATATACCATATCGCAATCTTTGTCCATGACTTTGTGGTTGCAATGAAATCCAAGAAACTCATAGTTAACCTTTCGTATGAACTTCTTTATTTCTACTGAGTCAGTTGCTTTGACTTCTATTTCATCGAATTCTGGAATAGTAAGCTTTTGTTGTTGGATTTCAGGAAGTTTAGGTAGATGGTCAATAATATCCTGCATTTCATAAAGATATTCTTCATCTGTTTCATCTTTTGCAGTGCAATCTAAATCTCCTTGGAGAAGTTCTTGCTTTATCTTCTGGATTTCTGTTTCGAAAGTATATGAAGAAGGAATGAAGCTTTTCATCTCTACTAACATTGAAGTTGGGTTCATGACTAACGAGTTTGGTGCTGTTGTTGCTAACATGTTCTTACAATAAAAATAAAAAATATTTTTTTAAAAAAACTAACTTTATTTTTTATTTCGGGAAAACTCATGAAAATTCAAGAGTTTTGTGTGTTTTCTACGAGGGTAGAAAAGAGGGTAGAAAAGAGGTTAGATATACCCATCTACCCTAAACATTATTTTTGCTGAATTCATGAGTTTTGGTTGAAAGAATACGGTGGAGCCAAAAGTGGCTCGACCTCAAAACAAGCATTTTCTGTATAAAATTCATGAAAATTCAAGAGGGTAGAAAAGAGGTTAGAAAAGAGGTTAGATATACCCATCTACCCTAAACATTATTTTTGCTGAATTCAGCAACAAAATTCAAATTGTAAAAAGTCAACCTTGAAAAATGTAAGTGTTTAGTCTTAGTAAGATGGTAGCTTCTTAAAGCAAATACCATTGCTGAGTTTTATGTACGTGAAGAGAAGTACAATGAATTCAATTACGAGTACAATTGCAATGACAACTAAGGCAACTATTTTTGTCTTTTGCCAGCAAGGGTACTTCTTCTCTTCCAATGGTTCGGCAGAACTATACTCACTCATGAGAAATGCCAAAACGGTTTAATAGAAAAAGTGTCATTTTTTCATGTCCGAAGACTCGAAGGTGCAACACTTCCAAAATACCGACGAACTCAGAAGAGCAGCATGGCAGTATCTTCTTGACAACTTTTTTGAGTTCTCCAGGTACACCTTGGAAAATGCTGAAGAACTCCGACACAGAGAATTTGGAGAAATTGCACTCCAATACTACCTTGACAAACAAAGGGTAAACAAAGGGTAAAATAAGACTAAAAACTTAACGTTTAAAAAGTGACATTTTTATGAGCTCCGAGTCACCGAGAAAACTTGGTCAGATGTTAGCAGCTTACTTCCCCGAGGAGGATGGAAGCGTTACATACATCAGGTTCAAAAACAACGAACCTGGAATTGCGTACAAATTCGCAATTACATGACCATGGAAGAGTACGAAAGGTTCCTACAAGAGAAACCAGCTCTAAACAACTCAGAAAAGAAAGAATAAAAAGTTTAACTCGTAATTGTTTATTTTTTTACTTGTATGGGCAAGCTGCAAGAATGAAGTCGACTATCTCAGTCTTTGTCTTGACCAGTTGGACTGCTCTTGCGAGTACGTCTGTTTTGCGGTCTCCAGCTGGTGTCTGACCTTCGTAATTGCGCATGTTCTTGAGAGCTCCAACTGTAAATGATTGTAGGATGAAGAGTCTCTCAGACTGCTTGAGGTAGTCTTCACGGTCACGAACCGAATCTGTGGTACGAGTCGAATCGGTCGATTTGAGGGAAGAGACTGAAAGCCTGTCGTCTTCCATAGGGGCTGTGGCATAATCTTTGCGTAAGCGGTTCAGACCTTCTTCGAACTCTTGGTCTCTCTTCGATTTGGATTGAGATTGGAATTGCTGGGGTGGAGCTTGTTGGAACATCCAAGGGTTGGGGAAGTAAGGCATAGGCTGAGGAGGAGGGTAGTTCGGGAAGCCTTGTGGTAGGTAGTAACCTTGAGGTGGAAATTGGTAGTAATTTGGTGGAGGGACTTGCTGGAACTGAGGTTGCTGAGGTGCAGGGGCTGGTGCTTTAGGTTCCTCTGGTTTGGGAATGGGCTCGGTTGGTGGTACGTCGGACATCTGTTTGTGGCTTAACCGTCGGAAGGAAAAACCTTTCCTGTCGGAAGGAAAAACCTTTCCTGTCGGAAGGAAAAACCTTTCCTGTCGGAAGGAAGAACTTTTTCTGTTGGAAGGAAAAACTTTTTCTGAAGTTCGACCAAAAAGTTCTCAATTTTCGAAAATTTGAATGGTTTACGGACGGACAACTGGAAGAACTTTTTCTGTCGGAAGGAAAAATTTTTCCCTTTGTCCGGAAAATTTTTTCCAGTTGTCGGGAAAATATTTTCCTGTCGGATGGAAGGACTCGGAATGCAAGAAGGACTTGACGAGGCAATTTACCTAATTGAAATTAACGACTGCGTAAAAGACTACTTGCGCAAGGTCATGAAGCCCAAGGTCAAGTTCATCTCTATTACTGGAAGGTCTACACTTCAGCTCGAGACTTCGACTGGAATTCCAATTCAAATACCAGACGGGACAGCCTACGATGGCATAAAGGACGCCAAAAGAGAAGCTCTTGTTAAGTTCCTAAACAAACGTCCTTGGATAAAAATACCAAACAAGGAGAACCCCCTACCCCATATGAAATTGGCAATTCAGTCTCTCCTTCACTTCTCGGGTCAGCCGTTCTACATAACCTGTGAAGGCGACATTCAGCCAGTTCTTCAGCCAGTTCAGTAAACATCTCATTTTAACTTCACTTTTTTTTATGTTTTTACTCACACTCGTACTCAACAGGTTTGTGTACAACTATTTCAACTGTGAACCTTGTATTGACCGGTCTTCCTGCAAATGCAAGTTCGGTCAATACACAATTTATGGTGGCAAGAAGGACAGTGGGGAATGTTATTCTGACATCTGTTGTTGCGCTCGAGAGAGATTTGAAATTTCAGAGCCACCTCCCCCAAGAACTCCAACACCAACACTCAAGTTGCCAAAGACTCATGTGAAGAAGAAGCCTTCTGGTAAGTTTCTTATAGCCATATACATGGCACGCTTTGAGTAAAAACATTTTTTTCATTTTTTGAATGAAGCAAGTTAAATTCGTCCCACACCAATCTCAATGGACCGATGAAGAGTTTCAAGCCATGGTTGAAGGCGTTGAGAACGACATAGACGGCGAACTTGAAGGAGCTCAAACCACAATTGCAACCAAAATTGCAGAAGTCAAGGAACAAATAGCTCCACTTAAAGCTACCAAAGCTACTCTTGACCTCATGGATAGTTACCGTTTAGATGTCAAGAGTGGAATAAGACAATTAAAATTAAAACTTCTAAACTACGAAGCTATACTCCAAAAGTTAGCAGAAATGAGAAGACTTTACCAGAGCTACTTACATGTAAGGGACTTACCTTCAAGCAGTCCGACCAAAGATGAATTTTCTGACATTGTCCCAATTTTGTCCGAAAGTCAGCTCAGATGTTTCGAACTGCTCCCAACATATCCAGAATATGAACGTTTGCCTGAACTCTTCCGCAATCTCAAAAAACGTTTTTTGGTTCTCATGTTCGAAACTTTTATCGGAAGAGACAACAAACGTTCAGAAGAAGAACAAGATATTATTTTAAACTTGTTGTATGACTTAACCGTCATAACAAGCTTTTTGAAGTAAAACCGTCATTCTCAAACCACTTCATTTTTTCGATGTCCGAACAAGCACCGAAGCCGAACACAATAGCAGATGTCCTTTCAAGGTTGCCAGACAAGCGCCCAGTTCAAATTCAAATTATGCATTTGAAAGCTCATCTGACAAACACCGTTAAGACTCTCCAAAGTAGTCTTATGGAAGAGATGAAGGGACTTAAAGTCGAAGTCCTCACGAACCAAGCTTCCAATGAGAAACGCCTGAACGATTTCACGGAAACCTTGCACATTTACGCGAGAGAGAACCGAGACCTTGCCAGACTCATCTACCGTTTCTTCGAAGAGATAGATGCCATCTGGAAGGTACTCGGAAAGGACAGAACCTCCAACACCGTAATTCGTGAGTACCAAATTGAAGAAGGTATTATCAAAGAAGAGGAAGAAGAGGAAGAAGAGGAAGAAGAGGAAGAAGAGAAACACGAAGAAGAGGAAGTTTGGGCAACCCTTGTTGCCGATGACACTTACGAAATTTCCCAACCCTACCCATACAAAATCCGCAACAGGGAGACCGGCAAGGTTCTAACCCCAGTCCTCAACAACTTGGGACACTTGAACCTTAACCTTCGGAATCGCGGTTCAATCTCCATGGGCAAGCTTGTCGCAATTCAATGGGTTCCAAATCCAGGCAAGAAGACGAAGGTCAGACACATTGACGGTGACAAGCTCAACAACCGTAAGGAGAACCTCGAGTGGTTCTAAGAGTAAAAAAATTTTATTTTAGGGGGAAACCCCAAGTAAATTTAGGTGTTTATTTGGATAAGTATGTTAAATTAAGGGCAATTTGGATAAGTAGTTCCTGACCCCTGAATTGGACTCTTTCGTCATCCCAGTTGCGTAGGAGGTCGTCCCAGAGGAGTTGGTAGAATTGCCAATCCAAGGACGATTTGTCCTCCCAGGCATTGAGGATGTACTGCTCGTAGAGTCTCATGACCTCTGCCTTGCACCAGACACCCTCTCCCTTGGAACGTAAGGCTTCTTCGAAGTGCTCGAATGCGATTGGCTGCATGACCATCCGAAATGACACTTTTTGTCCGTTTGGTCAATGTTCGTGTCTCGTGCCATAGTCGATGAAAATACAGACAAACAGGTTATATATGAGTTTGAGACCAAGAATGGTGTAACTCGACCTGTCCGATTCAAAGACTCCGAGGGCGACCATGAAATTAAACGGAAATTAGCTAGGAAGGAATATAAAATGGACTGGTTGCCACCACCTCCACCTCCACCACCTTTACCTGTTCCTCAAGTAAATAAGCCTTTCCCGTTCCCAAGAATTCCCACATTTTAATTCAAATTCGAATAAAAATTTTTTATTTCATGCAATGTTTTATTTCTGTGCCGTCTTCAAGTATGCCCCAGTACTTACGCTTGGAGAGGACATGAACTTCGGTGAAAATTTTGTCCAATTTGAATTGACCCATCTTTTCACCGACCATTCCCATTTCAATGAGTTTGTTATAGCCTTCTTCGTTCGTCATGAGTGCGTCAATGTTCTCATAGTAAACCTTCACTTTGGATTTGACTTCGGAGAAGAATTTGTTGTAGTTGTCAAGGACTGCCTTTGCGAACTGAGGGTAAGACCAATGTTCGACAATAGGTTTTAATGTGGTTACTAAGCCACTTTGACCTTGAGTGAATTCGTACTTCAAAACAAAAGGAGAAAACCTTTCAACAAAGTTGTCGACCTTCTCATAATGTTTACTCTTCATCTCTTGAGGTTTCTTAATGGAATATCCCCATGTCGAATTCATAAGCAATTTGAGTGTCATTGCAAGTTTGGGGTTTGAAGCTTTCCTAATATCATAGAGTTGTTGTATGACTTTTCCAACTGTATAGTTCCTTCCCGGGAACTCACCGTCTTCGTTTGGAATTCCAGTCGGGATATATTGGACGAACCTCATGTACGCAGCGTTAAGGTCGACATAGTATATCTTTTCATCTGAGTCGAACTTATCGCATCCAATTGGTCCAGTTTGTGGAAATTCAAGTGAGTCTCTTATCTTTTGAGAAACTTCTCCTGTTATCTCATAAACATCGTCAAAGCAACCTGTTTCATATAAAATTTTCTGACCTAACTCAGATGCTCTCCAATACAATTTGACGTCAATTGGATGTCTCAATGGAAGTTTGTTTATAGCATCTTGAAGTTCTTGCAACCTCATTGGAAGTTCTTCTGGTTCAGGTTGGTATCCGAACAATCCAACCCCTTGTGGAATTGTGTACTTCTTTTGTACTAGAACTTTGTCTGGAACAACTTTTGGTCTTGCTAACAATGAAAAGTTTGTTTCGTCTTTTGGTACAAAAGTTTCTGTCAGCTTGTCATCTGGAATTGGTTCCAACAAACCTTTCTCGAAAAGAATGTTAACAGCTCTGACAATGTTACACTTACCTTTTCCGAACATAAGACTTTCGTTCAACATGAAGTGGTTGTGGACAATTGCAATCTTCAACCATGGTAAGTCTTTGTCAACAACATAGTCGTCATGTGAAGAACCTTTAGCTGTAGGTATGCTGACTCGGATATTGACATTTGCCAACGGTGCAATTTTTGCCAATTGACCTCTGAGAATGTACCTTGTCTTCACACATGACTCAAGATACTTCATCTTCTCTTCTGTAACAAGACCAGAGTTCCTGAGACATGTAAGAATGCAAGGTTCATTGACAATTGTTTCAATTGAATTGTAAATTCCATACCTTGTCAAGTCAATGTCAGACTTATTTATGAACGGGAAGTATCCAGCATGTTGTCTGACTGCTTGAGGGTTAGGTTGGTACCATTCGAACTTGACACTTGCAATTCCTTCAATTGCATTCAAAATGTCTGAGTCGGAGTCAACCATTTGTTCTCTCTTTGTAGTCTTGAAAGCGTCAAGAAGTTTTGCAGCTGTTTGTTCATTGCCATTTGCATAGTAAATGTGACCATCCAAATCTGTTATGGTCAATCTGAGATTGTATCCTTTCTTATTTCCATCTTGAATTGCAGCAAGTACTCCCATGAAGCCTTCTTTGTTCTTTCCTTCGTCAAAGTTTACTGTAAAGGTTCGACCAGATGTAATTTGACTTCTAACTTCACGATACTTTTCATATGCATATCTTGTTCTTTCCATGGGAGCATGACCATCCTCTGCACTACCTTTTTTCCTTCTCAAAGGATGCAATTGTTCGTCATGTTTCCAGTAGAATCTGGCAAAGCCGTCGTGTCCTTCAACTTGAGGTTCACTAACATCGAAAGGCATGTCCATAAGACGTTCTTCTTCTAACCTCTCTAGTCTGTTTGGATAATTTGCACGTGCTGTTTCCAAATCCATTTCGTAGGTCAGACCAGCCAGTTTGTCATAGACTTTTATGGGTCTTCCCTTCCTATATTTAAAATTCTTCGAAACTCTCCAACCATATCTTTGCAACTCTGCTTTTATTCTAGCAGACTTTCTATCCATTCTATATGGGGGCATTTTTATAAAAATAAAAAAATGTTTTTTTCTTTACTTAACATAACCGCCTGCTGCCATAAGTCTTTGACGCCAACCCATACCAGCTAATGAAGGTTGACTTGGTTTAGTTTGGAAACTAAACTTTGGTTTTGGTTTATCTTCCGTTTTTGGTTTCTCTTCTTCTATCGGTTTTTCGTCACTTTTCGGTTCCTCTGACTTTACTTCACTTGCAGGAACAGTTGTGTTGTCAACATCTTCATAAATATCATATGCCATTTGTTTTTGTTTTCCTTTCAACTTTTTGTGTTTGTTGTAAAGTTTAGAATATTTCGACTCTAAGTCAATGAGATGTTCTATAATGAACTGTTGGTCAGTGAAGTAAACTTTTCCATCTGTTGTCTCGAAAGCTCCTTCAGACTTCAATATTTTATTTGTGAGAGTCTGTTTCTTTTTTGAGATACTAGCCGTTCCATTTCTATGAAAAGTGACTTTATAGTTAGGGTTTGTATTTCCAGACCTGGCACTTTCTATTATTGAATTTTTCTCTTCATCTGTAAGTTCTTTGACAGGTTTTGACAATGGTTCTGAACTTTTTGTTTGTGGTGTCAAATCTACGGTTTCAACTTCTTCGGTCATTTCATCTCAGTAAAAAATTTTAGTTTGGTTTGTTTTCAACTGGTTGTTGTTGTTTTTTAAGTCGGTCTAAAACTTCCTGAGGTATAGGAAGAACTTGACAAACACGTGGTGGTGTAACTGCTGGAAGCCGACAAATCCATCTTGAACCCATTTGTCTCAATGCTGTATTGTTCATTTCATCTCAGTAAAAAACTTTACATTCCCCACGTTTGAGGCGGTTGAGGTTGGTTATTGTTTACCCATTGTTGTGCATGGTTATATCCTCTGTTAAAGAATCTTTCACCTTGGTCCATATAGTGTCCTGCTTGGTTATAGTAGTCATTTGCTTTGTTATAATAGTTTCCTGCTTGTCTTCCTACATTGTCCATCCATCCTTGAACTTTTCCTCTTGTTTCAGGATTTGGAATAAGATTTGTTGCATCTCGTGCTACATCCCAACCTTTCTGTACAGTTTGTATAATAGGTTGTGCTTTCTCTTTAAGTATACCTAATGTACTCAAAATCTTCCTTCCAACTCCAAATACACCTCTGGCTATTGTTCCCACTGCGGGCAAAAATCTGGATGCAACTCCTGCTAATGCGCCAAATAAACCCATTTCTTATGGGTTAAAAAATGACGAATCCAAACAAGGACCCCTATGTTTCTAAAGCGACAAAGAAAGCACTCATGATAAAAATCTTTAGTTCAACACCAAATGCTTGGTTTATGGATATCTTGGAAAACATTCCGAGGTATAGAGAAGATGGACCTCCATACTGGCTAATATTTGTCGGTCAAAACACAAGATACTGTGAAGCCATACCATTATGGTCCAAAAATATTTTAGATGTGAAAACTGCTTTGACAATATTCGTTGACAAATACCATCCAACAAAACTGACATCTGACTGTGAAAGTTCTTTCAAATCAGACGATGTAAAAAACTATCTGCGTTCAAAAAATGTAAACCAATATTTCATTGTCGACCAAAACCATTCTGCTCTTGGTGTCATTGACGGTTGTATAAAAATGTTAAGAGACTTAAACCAACCACAAGGTGGTGAAGCAAATGAAATGTCATATGACGACAAATATAGACACTTCTCCATGGCAAAGATGAGACAAGTTTTAAATATTTACAATAGCCGTAAACAAAAAGGTTTGGGAAACCACTCCCCCGAAGAAATGAAAAACAACCCTGACTTAGAGAAAGACTATATATTTAATAATTTAGTCAAAAGAGACAAACAAGAAAGAATGCCGGGCTTCAAACTTAAGAAAGGTGACAAAGTAAAAATAGAAATACCTAAACGCGACCCATATGAAAATACTATTGACTATGACAACAATGGGAACTCGACAGGTACTCACATTCGTGTTCGTAAAAATAGAAGAAAGTATACAAGAGAATATTATGAAGTTTTAGGCAAACATGGCAAAATGTACACACTGCAAGCAGAAGATAAAACTACTATTGTCAGACCTCGTTTCAAACTTGTCAAAGTTCAAG